CCAAATTTGGGCTGTAGCGCCGAAGGAAAAAGAAAAGAAAGTATCAAATCTAAAGAATGTCATGAAATTCTTACACAGTTTACTTTATAAATACATTTTTCTGACATATTTATCATAAGTTGCAAAACAGGTACCTGGAAATTATAGAAGTATCTCAGTCGAATGAATGTATTTAAGAAAGCAACGTTTCTCGAAGTTTAGAACAGCTCTTCCCTAGGAAGCACATAAAATAAAATACTGATTCTTCGGCACAACACATGTCAAGCAGATTTCATCGTTGATGTTCCAAGTTAACGAATTCAGACAGTAAGAATTTCTGGCTTCGCAGGACCCACCTTCAAGCTCTACCGCAGAAATACAAACATACACGGGGCGACAAACCTGTCAGTAGAATGAATATAAAATCTAAATTCAGAATCAGGAGGATTTAAGCAACCGAATAGAGGACAGATCGTAACGTCAGTGTAAATCCATAATTAACTTCACACGGCAGAACTGCTTTTGAGCAGCTGATAGTCTCCCAGCTTTATGAAATACTTAGGTTTATTATCGAAACCGATAAATAGAAACAATATCTTCACGTAGATCCTAAGGGGTTCTTACGATGGTGTATAACGCTAAGAATTAGGGTTTTTGGACTTTGTCCATAGTCCGGTATTCCAAAACTAGAGAACACAAGGTTTTTGAAATTGGATCTGTTTGCATCCTCAGATGAGGGGAAACACACCTGCTCTTCTGGATCCCTTAGAAAGCACTAACCTCAGTCACTCAGTTTTTAGAATACCGGACGATGGGAAATGTGTAAAAATCAAGTAATTCTGAGCAATATCTTCGTCCCCTATAAGTTTCATTATAATACATGGTAACTACAAATGATTCATTCTATTTCATAACACTATACTTTCCAAAGTATTACACATAAAAATATGATTATATATGAAGAGAACCGTAAATTCACCAAATTACAAATGTTTTATGTATGTCCCTTTGATCACACGACACGTCCAAACGGTAGTCGAGTTTGTTCCGAACGTTTTGTAGCACTCTCTTGTTAATCGTCATCACAGCAGTATTAATGCCTTCCCTGAGCTCTACCAGTGTTGTAGATAGTGGGGGTATGTAAACATGGTACTTAACATACCCAAAAAGAAGAAGTCACATGGCATTAGATTATATTTGTATGTGTAATACTTTGGAAAATATAGTGTTTTAAAATGGAATGAATCATTTGTAGTAACCCTGCATTATACACTCATCTAAGTTTATTTATCACAAGTATCCCTTTAGGTTTCCGGGAAAATATGTTATATATATATATATATATATTATCTCTCCGTAATACGTGCCACGCCCCGTCCTTCATTTTTACACCCAAAAGTATTTGAAAAACATTGGAAATTACATATTACGCGAAATTCTTCGATTCTCATATTACTTGCTTTTCGTTCGGTTCACATACACTATTCAGTATTTTCGCAGAAGTCCTGGATCTATGTACTTTCATTACAAACATAGAACAATGTCACACCTACATAAAACAACGACGAAATTAGATGTAGTTTTTATCCAGTTTCATGGGGTGGGGTGAGATTGAGTCCACTTGATACGGCGGCCACGAACTGCAGTTGATGGAGTGAGAATTGTTAGTGGAAACCCAAGTACTCGGAGAAAACCTGTCCTAGTACCTCTTTGTTCTCCACAAATCCCACATGACCTGACCGTGGCTCGAAGCCCGCGACTAACAGCCTCATCTATGGCGCAGCCTAAGTTGGAGGTATATTTCCAAATAATATAATTAATTTTTTTCAATTTGCTTAGTGGGGGGTGGAGTCCAACTGGGTCTACTCGGCACGGCTTGCCACTGATTGGCCTATTGTAGCCTGCACCGGGTGATTATGATGATGGAGAATTTGGTGGAATGAAGATTGGCAGGGGAAACCGAAGTACTGGGAAAAACCTGCTCCAGGGCCACTTTGTTCACCACAAATCCCACTTGACCAGACCCGGGATCGAAGCCTGGCCGCCGCGGTGGGAAGCCAGCGACTAACCGCTTGAGCTATGGTGCGGCCTAAGAATATAATTAATACTGAAATATTGGAAAATATAAGAAACTCAACTTGTTGAAGCTGCTTTGTAGTTTAGTATTTCCTTAAAATAATAAGATAAAAAGGACACGGGAAGTCCGTGACTGCTTGTGTGTCTGGATTGCTATACCACGTAACTACTGAAACTAAACTATACGCTGCTTTCTTAGAACAAAGTTTGAAATTAATTCCACCGGGGTAATTCAGCAGAATGGTTCATAAACCTCGCCCCTGCTACCTCAGAGGCGGATGGCTTGAACAACGCGAACCGAGGGTTTTGTAACTTCCTAATTTAGTGGACTTTTTAGAAAACAGATCGCTTTTACAGGTGACGTTTCGATTATAGAAGTACCTAACGTGTGGCCCACATTTTTCCCGTTTTCATTGTTATATGTAAATGTACATAATTCCCGTAAATTTTATATGAAACTTTTAATATATCAGGAATTTACAAGGAGTCTTGAGGTGCTGATTATCAGAAACTATAATTGTCATAACTTTACCGATTACCATAGCCGCATCTGTCTAGTGGAAAACAGCGGAACACCGTAACATCTCAGTCATAAAGCCTTCTTCAGGAATCGAACTCAGATACTCCTTAATATGAAGGTAAGGTAAAGTTGTCGCTGTACTTAACTAATTAAGCACTACGCCAGTAAGGCGTACAGGGGAGTGGATGTATAGATCCACATTTTCCTGACCTCGGCACTAGTTCGAGATGAGAGGTCAGCTTCACGCCCCTGCCGCTTTATCCTGAGGGAAAGAGACCCCGGAACCCATTGGATATGAGGTTGGGTGGACCCCAGAGCCAGTCTGGACGACTTGGAGCAGAGAAAATTCTTTCCTCTACTGGGAATTGAACTCCGAACCCTTGATCGTCCAGCCAGTAGACAGTCGCTATACCGACTGAGCTATTCCGGCCCTAATATAAAGGTGTGGTGCCAAATATACAAATATTCTCACTTTAATACTTCATTACTATACTAATTAAATACAACTCATAGTAATTAATTAATATGTTTAGCAATAATGTGATATAATAATAAAAGTGCATAATTACGTCCAGAAAGTAACAGGTGGGTCTACATATCTGTACAGATTCTTTAAGGTTATGACACCGTGTAATTTGGTAGGCGGTTACCTCCTCCGTTGTAGGGAGAGATGGATTCGGTTTCCTCCGGAAAGTTATTGAGTACATTCGGCATTGCAAGGTGTCGTAAACCACAGGCCCATAGTCTGAGCACACCGCTGTGTTGTAAATGTGTGATCAATACCGGTCCGACGAGATTAAAAGATTTAAGCCAGTATAAATAATTAAACTTGTCTGAGGCTCGTAGACAAGTTAAGGAAAGTGCTTTAAAGTCGCATAAACTTTTCGGCAAAGCTATGAACATTCTTTCCCTGATTTTGCCGGATGCACAGAAATCGGAACACTGCAAGTAGTGATGTGGGAACTCTTGTAATTAGCCAGCGATATACCAACCACGGTTATTAATCTGGTTGTAAGCAGATCCAGAACTATTTCTAGCCTTATTCTTCACGCTATTTTGAATGGATGAAAGAAATCGTCAATTATTTCGAAGAGAATGTTGTTTCTATCTTCCTTTTCATCACTGTGTTATAATTTATTCAATATCTCAGAGTCCCGGGATTCTAAAATTATATATGCATGTTTATATTTTTGCTGTTCCGTTAAATTTTCCTATTAAAGAACAGAAACGATCCTTATTAGTTAGTTATGAAACTGTCATTCTACTTGTGTCCATCTCCATGTACTAATATCAACAGCCCGGAAGTAGTGTTAACTTCTTCCTTGTTTTGTATCTGGAAATTAAAAAAAAAAAACTTTACCAAAGCAGTACATTTTCCAACCGATAACTTCCTGCATCTGCTTGTGACGGATGTACTGATTATATTGAATTTCATGTTACATTGTGCTCTGTGTTCGGCAGTGATGTATAGCGTAACTGAGGAGAGGGCTCTTCAAACTCACAAATTTAAATTGAATGTTTGTCACATTTTTAGGCCAAATAAAGTTCCATTTTCTTATATCCGAAAAAACTAGCTAAATATAACGAAACCTCTAGTTCTGGAGCATCTGTATCTCGCAATATAGTTTTAAGTAGTTTAAAATATTTTTACACAAAAATAACTACTATAAATATGATAATTAGTTCAACATATAATAGTAAAAACATCCGGTAATTAAAGTATAATAAACACGGTCTAGTATTTGAATTCCTTTAAAGGAGCACGTATTTTAAAATAGAGAAAAAATAAGGATTAAATTTCAAGCTTCTCACAACTATACGGCACAATGTTTAAATGTATTACTTTCCTTTTTGTCTACTTCCCACATTTACTAAAATCAATATATTTAGGAAATTCGTTCTACTTTCGCCCTCAGGTTAAGGGGGTCGAAACCCTTCGGCTGTGATTTGGGAGTAATTACCATAGGCCCCAAAAGGAAATTTATTTCGCATTGTATTCATATGAAGATAGGAAACAGAATAAACTTGCGAAACGAATTGGTTTTCATATATTCCGACGATGGACAAGCCCGAAATAATAGCTTTAAGCTGTGTTTCAACAGCCAATTGGAGTTCCTTCTGAGACCAAGGAAGTAAAATGACTCACGTTACGATTATTCATATTGTGCACAACGGAAATATAAGAAGGGTTTCCTACCGAATGCATACGTCGTCTATTGTGTTTGCGAAACTAAAACTTCCTGTAGAGCCCCATCCCCGTGCACTAAGTAACGTGAAGGCCGGCACTACAAGACAGCTCTCTCCACACGGACTCAGAGCCGCAGTAACAGGTGTGTCTGAGGGGGCACCAAAGACATCCATTCACACGACACGAGAGAGATCAATGAAGTACACTGCCCAAAGGGATAAAACAGGTACCACTCACCTATCTGAGGAACGTCATACTCTCGATGTCCCCTTGGCGACCGGAGCATGAACTGGTTGGCGAGGCCCTTCGGAAGAACCGGAGGACCTCCCCCTCCTCCTCCACCGCCGCCGCCACCGTCCCCAGCGCCCGGAGCTGTTTCCGCCGTATCATGATGAGTGTCCCCCGGGGGTTCCCCAGCAGATCCCGAGGGCCTAAATGGATGCCGATCACGTTTATTCCAAGGCGGAGGGAACACAAATGCATGCTGAATGGGAGGGGAGTGTTGCCTGTGCTGGTGGTGAGGATGTGGTGGCGGGATGCCTTCTAGGTCAACGATCCCGTTGGCTCCGGCCTCATACAGCAGCCAGCGCTCGGCGGCGGCTTCTACTTCCTCTTCCTCGTCCTCCTCCTCCTCTTCGGTGAGGTGAGGCTCAAGGCGGGAATGTTGTTGGACAGATGCTTGCTCTGTGTCGCCGCCGCCCCCAAGCAGCTTAAGACGCGGCGGCCTCTGCACGGCGCTGGACAGCAATAAAGAGCCGTCACTCAACCTAAGCAGCGCTAGTAACAGTGTTATGCCCGCTCCTAGTACTAGGAAGCCACCAATTCCAGCGGCCATCGCTTGTTTGAAACTCAAATTTATGAGCCTAATCTTGTCTCACCTCTCTCTACTTTCTTGGCTCTTAACGGAGCACAAGAGGATTGTAAGGAAAGGAGTCAGAGGAAATTCTTGGAAGGGGTAAATAATAGAATTTGGAAGGGATGGGATCGTGTCCACTCGTCAGTGCTAATAGAGACACCCTTCACAATTCAGACGCGAAACCACTGCACACTCACTCACAGTTCCTCCCTAACCTCCAAGATTGCTTACTATTCTGTCTTGTTGAAGTTCAGAGAAGTAACGAAGGCAATACAATACACCATTTCTTCCGTTTCTGTCACTCGAACAAAGTTTACAGTAAATAGTGCTCTGGTATACGTGAGTTTAAAGAGAAAAAAGTGTGCGTGCTTTAACAATAAGATAGAGTGGATGAAAAACGGATGGATACGTGCAAAGTCACCGAGAGCTTGGGTAGTTTGCAGGAAGTGCGAGATGGCGCGACGAACATCACACCTGTACGCTTGTTCGCTAGCAACACGTGATTGGGGAGGTCTCAATTCTGGGGGGGGTGAAACAAAGAAAGAAGAGAAGAATCTTCAAACTTGACTGAGATGAACTTAGTTAATTAGAAACAAGCCTGGAACGTATTTTTGTTTGTCCTCTACACAGTACTCGAACAGTCTGGTTGTCCAGCACCACCAGCACCAACACAGCGTGAGCGAGAAATGACGAGTTGAAATACTTAGTGACACAGCCTGCTGTAGGCACGAGGGTGTTTGTTCCGGGTGGTGGTCTTGATAGAAGTTGTTGCAAGCCGCTTGAACCACCACCGGTGTTGTGGGGTGCCTTCACTGTAGTCGCTTGTCCCGCCGCTAAACTTGTCCATGTCGGAGATACAGCTCTCAGTCTCTCTCTCTCTCTGTCGCTCGCGACGCCCTGCTGAACCGACGGCGTGCCCTGCGCCAAACGTACTCCTCCACACAACACCCACGCAAACTGCCGAGCTCACCGTCCCCAACCTCCCTCCAACCCCTGCCAACTTAGTTGCACAACTTCAATATTTTTTTTTTTTTACTTTCTTCAGCATCCACATAAAATAAAAGGAAGAAAAAAAAACTTCAGGCCACTTGCATCACGGGAATTAATTTTCAATGACTGAGTGACTTGTGTTACAAAATTACCTGAGACGAAATTAAGAACTCTGGTATCTACATGACCAAAACTCGAAAAATGTTGTCATATAAATGAACACGCGACTGTTCTCCTGCGCTGCAGGTTGCTGCGCACCGCCCTGGCGCAGCACCCCGCCAAACCGTGGCATCCATGCGCAGGCGTCGCTGTCCATCTATGCAATGCGTCAACATATATAATATCACTATACATATATAAAATCCTGAATGCATACGTATGTGGCTTACAGGTTTCACTAGCACAGGCATTGATTTTACCCCTCCTTACCCAACGAGACAATTCTAAACGGTCAGTGATATTGTCCATTTTATCTCTCTATGTGATGATATGCACCCGTTTTTTATTAGTCACACTGTAGGGGCTTTTTTAGTAGTTATGACGTCAGTCTATACCCTACCTGTTTTTTAGCCGAAGTCATTCACACTTTTACAATATGTATGGTATATTCGGCCTCAGCAGAAACAATGAATGAAACATACTAGTTACAGATTCAGCCAACAGATGTCTTTACAGATTGCATTGCACCTCGTTCTATCCACATGCCTTAAAATTGATTTGCGTTGGAGAAATAAAACAAAATGCAATTCAAGGAAATAGGACATAAACATTCACACGCGGTGGTAACTACGTGGTTCGCGTTGGCGTTACGAAACCAGAAATAATTTTCATAAAATTTCTTTGTGGAGCTGTTTTCTTTTCTCACAACAAATAGTCATTTATTCCGTGGACAACATTAACCGTACGATCTTTGTAATATAGAAGGGATGCATATTAAAAAATGTTAAGAATATGAAGAAGAGTACTATATTCTGAGATATAACACCGTGTAGTTCGTTGAAAGTCTAACGACGTTTCGGAGTAAAATATCGCCTCCATCTTCACTGTCGAATAGGCTTAGCAAAATACCAGCGTGAAAGCAGGAGGGAAGATGATAATAATCTGCAATATTTACACAACCGTTCTAGACTTCACAATTCAATCTGCATAAGGCTAATATTCATCTCTTTAACACGACTGACCGCTGAGAAATTGCAGCGGTGTTGGTTCAGTGTAGCTGACAGCATCCCATCCAGTTAATTTATGCAATTTGCCTTTCACACCTTCCGTTCTCTTCACAGTTTTCTCTTCTAAGAAAGTAACATATTAACTCCGTAACTAGAGAGTGTCGGGTCGGAGATGGCGTAGCAAACGTGAAGAACAAAGATGAGACAAAGCACTGCCTGGTCAGAGCTGTCATCTCGGTGATCAGTGACGTAGAAGTATGAAGCAATGGTGGAAGGATGATTAGGTGGGGAAATCTGAATAACAGCGGGGAAACCCCCCTCCCCGCTCTATTGCCACTTCGTCCAATCTGAAATCTCACAAGAAATTACAAGAGGTTGTACTACTGCTACTATCAATAAAAGGTAAAGTAAAGGTATCTTTGTAACAGGCCGTGGAGGCCCATAGGGTTGTGAGACTTCGAGGCTTCCACATTTTCTATAGACAATCGGCTCACAGATAGCGGTAAGGTTGTCAGCCTTACTCGCCAACCGCACTTTACCCCCTAGTAAGATTCCAAGTATCCATTTCTGTTAGAGGCTGGGTCGACCCCTGGACCATAGTGCGGCTGGAAGGGTTAGGTCAATTGAAAAAATACACCTCGTCGGGACTCGAACCTGCGACCTTCCGGCTTCTAGCATGGTGCCTAGACCAACTACGCTACCACGTGCCCCCATTAATGATATCAGCTATACATTACAGGTCAGTTTATGACCTTCTTAGTTGTGAAGCAGTGTAGAAACGTTTCGACGGATTATTTTAAACTTCAGGGTCGAACTGAGTGTGAAGAGGATATAGTTAGCTTATATAGACAGGTCAGACCCACGGTGGGGCACAAAAGATGGGACTCGATATAGGTTAACGGGGAACGGTAAACGGGATTTGCGAGAGAAATTCCCAATCTGAAGATGGAGGCTGAAAATTCCTCTTGGCACTTATTTATAGTATAAAATGATATTAAAAACGAGACGACCACAACTTGAACACTCACAGCCTTGAAATCTGAAAACTTTCCCAATTAAATATGTTTATTAAAAAAAAAAAATTTCCAAGCTCTACTTAAACGAAGTGTAACAAAACGTAATCCTGCAAAGTCCTACTAATGCATAAAGCCTGGAAACAGTGATCATCTCAATGCTTCTTTCGCTATTGATTTTCATGTGTTTATTCTCAGGTCCCCGATCACAGCGGCCGCGCGGTCTAAGGCATGAACTGTCTCAAGGCACACATGTCTGTATTGTGTAGGTTTACTTTGTGTTTGTGTTTTCCTGTGTCTATGCAGCGGCCTTACGACGAGGTAACCCCTTGTTTAAGGAGTCCTATCGCCTGTGTGTAGGATCGAGAAACTGAAGAAGTGGCCACGGCCCAACAAAGGGCTGTAGAGCCATCATAATAATTCTCAGGTGTTTTAACCGTTTGCAGTACTCGTAACTTGGGCTCCTCCCCAGTCCTCGCAACGCACTTATACCATACAGTACTGAAAATATTTAAAATACGGCTCAAGAAGCCTTTTGTGAATAAGCATGTACATGGCAATGACGACAGATAACGACAGTGACACTATTATCTGCAGAGCCATCTAGCGTCAGATGCAGTACTACCTGCTATCAGAGCATGCAGCGACCCATTGGTGGACTATGTTTCCGCAATCTTAAGAAGAGTAATGTTGGCTTTTCTGTATACAGTATAGGAATTTCGAGAGCGGTTCTCTGGTTCTGCCTTCTGCCCTGGGATGGAATTGGTATCTGTATGTTTCAAGGCGTTCGCCTGAGAGACGTAATAAAACTTACTATAGGATTCTGACGATGGTGTATAACACACTGTTATATTGGGTTTTTGGATTTCATCCACCATCCTGGTTTTTAAGATAATTAATAAAAACACGACGTTTCGGAAACTGGATCTGTTTCCGTTCTCAGGTGAAGGAAAACACCTATTCTGTTGGGTCCGTTAGAAAGAGCTAGCCTCAATCCAGTGATTTTTTTTATTAGTTATCTTAAAAACCAGGATGATGGATGAAGTCCAAAAACCCAATATATCAGTGTAATAAAACTTAATTAAGCCCATGGAGCAAAGTTCTATTTGAGAAGCTGACAGTCGTTCATTTGGCCAAGATATTTTCCTCTCATGGAACTTGAAGGCTAATTGGAGGAGTACTCTATTTAAATCTACCCTGTCTAATTAATCCGGTCCACACCTCCGTATTTGTTTTTTTTTATATCCATTTTGATGTTATCCTACCATTTACGTTATGGTCTATCAAGTGGTCTGTTACGTTAACATTTCAGACTTGTGTACTCGCTTCTCACCTTCCCCAAAAGTGTTAGATTATTGGTCAAAAGGGCGTGCCATAGCTCAGGCGGTTAGTCGCCGGCTTCCAATCATAGGGGCCATGGTTCGAGCCCAGGTCAAGTCATGTGGGATTTGTGGTGGACAAAGTGATACTGGAGCAGGGTTTCTCCGAGTACTTCGGGTTTTCCTGTCAATTCTGATTTCATCAACTGCTCAACACCATCATCTACCATCCGGGACCCGTGCAATACACCAGATAGTGGCCGACGTACCAAATGAACTCAGTCTCACCCCACCCCAAGAAACTAAAACAAAATAATATTATCCATTAAATAATTAATTCATATTATAGGCCCAGTGCAATAATTCGAATTAATAAATCAGTGTTTTAAGTTGTCGGGTGTTAAGCTAATGTACTCAACATCCAACCTGGTATTCCACCCATGTCTGCTATTAGCTGCAGTTAATTCAACATATTATTTTTATTGCTAGTGATGAGGGGCTAAGTCCCTCTACTGCGGCCACTTCTGGCCTATTGTACCAGCCCCAGATGATAGGTGAGGCTGATTGTGGAGTAATTGGTGGAATGGAGATTGACAGGGGAAACCGAAGTACTCGGAGAAAACCTACCCCAGCGCCACTTTGTCTACCACAAATCCCACTTGACCAGACCTGGGATCGAACCCGGGCCGCCGCGGTGGGAAGCCAGCGACTAATTGCTTGAGCTATGGCGAGGCCCTATTCAACATATTGGCAAGTACTCTCCACACCTACAAACCATTCTTCTCTGTCTCCAACTCGCGGACGCGAGATGTCTTGGTGAGACGTGATTCGATTAACACAGGAAATCAGGAAAACCTAGTGATACGAGTTACGACAGTGCACAAAAGTTCAGCAGTTTCCCCGCAATTTTAATGTACCTGATGATGGCCAACTAGGCTGAAACACGTTGTGCGACATAAGTGTTAAATAAATATAAACAACTTGAAATAACTGAGACTTCCAAAATTAAAAAAAAATATATATTTTTTAGGGATTTTGAAACTTTCAGCATGAGTTGCAGGTGAGACGGCAGTGAATACATGGAAAAAAAAGCAGACACAATGCAACAGGATACTGCAATACAACATTAAACAGACAAAGACTTATGCAAAACTAGGAAAATCCTGATGAAGGTTAGGTGGGACCGACAGCGAGATTCGAAACCGGTACTTCTTCAGTATAGGCCAAGAGCTTTATCTTTGTTCCATAATGCCTTCTCTGATTTCTCTCTATGGCGTTATTACACTGCATTGTGATGAAAGCCGCCAACTGCATTCAGTACAGATCACAGACGATTTACAAGAAGATGCTAATGGAAATCCACCTCTCAGTTCCCACAAACTTATTTTCTCCACTTACTTGACTGTGGAAGCGGCCTCCGTGGTCTAGAGGTAGCGTTCCCACCTCATGACTCATAGTACGCGGTTCAAATACCCGGTGGAGGTCGTCGAATTTTTAAGGGCGGAAAAATTCAGGGAACAAGTCCTCCGGGAG